CCAGTTTGACCCGGATTGGGCGAATCAGTAGTGGTGGTGACAGGAGGCTCCGCCCACCCGCCCGGGTGCTCCTGCGCATGCGCAGAAGTGTCATGCACGCAAGCACATGCGAACCAGTAGACTGGGATTTGAAACCCACCTCTGATTCAAAAGGCATATAGTTATTTATGTGGTGCCTATCAAAACGTGTTAAGCTGGTGTGTTTTTTCTTGGGCTTGTACACCTGTTATGCTGCAGTGATACTGCAAACCACTGGAGATCCCAATCCTATCCTAGATGCCCTCTAGGTCTTCATACTTATCCTGTTTCTATCCAGTTTGGGGGAGCCACCAGCCTTTACAAGGTACCTAATATGGCACTTATTTCTCTAATCCAGTATGAAGGAAAGGATAGTCCTTCACAGCCTGAGCTGCCTTTCTGGCAATTAAAAAATCAAAATGAAAAAAAATGAAATAATTTTGACAGTGTCATCACCTGCCAAGTAACATAAAAATTAGATTCCATGCTCATGTATTATATTGTCTTCTTTTTTCTTTTTAAATTAATTCATAAGATCTTTATCTTATAGCATTGCTATAATGTTTAGCCCTCCTTCGATTCCTTGGGAGATAAATTAACCTCATAGGAGCTAAAGAAAATCAAACTCTATTATTAAAAAAGAAGCAGATCATAGTAATATAAGATCTTATGAATTAATTTAAAAAGAAAAATGAAGACAATATAATACATGAGCATGGAATCTAATACCTAGTTTTATGCCAGGATTTAGTTTAAAGATCTGTAACAAGTACTGGTCCTTTCTCAAAAAGAAGAACCTATCATCTTACTTGGGTTTGTTGTCGTTGTTGTCATTGTGGTTCTTAATTTTTATCTGGGATATATTTTAATATAACTTAAAAACATTATTCAGTGTCCTACAAACTGGAATGACAGAGAACAGATTATGACATTTTTCTGTGTGACAAAATTAAACCACTTGTAGGGTGCCATTGTATTCTTTATAAAACTTGTCTTCTCAAAACTAAATATAATCAATTCCCTGAATTTGACTCACAGTAGAATTAGTTTCCATCTGTGTCATTATTTTTATTGCCAGCCAAATTAGAACAGCATTCTGATTTGCCCAAGTCCAATCAATGTAGAATCAATTGGGTCTGCATATTTATGTACTTGATTTGATTTCTTTTTCCTAAGTGAAGAGTTTATATTTGCGTTTCTTAGATTTTATTATTATTTTTCAGACATTTTGTTAATCCCATCAATATAATTCTGAAATTTAAATCTTCTAGGATAGTACAGATAGTCCTTGCTTAATGTCACTAATTGGGACAATTAGCAATAGCAGTTAGACTTATATACCGCTTCATAGGGCTTTCAGCCCTCTCTAAGCGGTTTACAGAGTCAGCATATCGCCCCCACAGTC